AATTTGAATTATAAAAACCGATTCTGATGTTCTATCCAATAATAATCTAAATGTATTAAATTATTTAATCTTTCTTTCTAAATATTAAATAAGTAATAATCTTTATTAATTTCTCCTTGATATAATGGAAATTCTTTTATTTGAATTGAAACCATCTGTTGAGTAGGCGGAAATAATTCCAGATAAATTCTTTAACAAAAAAAATATCGTTTTATTTAATTTATTTTACAATCAAATAAAACTGTTCAACTGTAGGTTGAAGAAAACCAATTTGTAATTCATTAAAACTACCCCAAGATTGTCCACAAATAACGACCTTTTAATAGAGAATAAATAAAAATTAAATATTAATCTTTCTTAAAATTACTATTCCATTCGACCATTTTTTCCCTTTGTTTTCATACGAAAGAAAAAAATCCGAATAAAATATAAGAGAAACAAAAGAAAATTGCAAATCTTGAGAATTTCCAATTCCTGTAATGATAACCAAACCCGGATAAATATTTTAATCGAATTTCATCTCTTGTTGATCTAAGAAATTCACTACGAATCTATCGATGAATATCTTTTTTAGATGATTTCATTCGTTTTACTTTTACAATTTTTAATAAATAAAAAACGATAAATCTTTTAGATATTTATCAACCTATGAAGGATAAAGAACAGATGTGTCTGCATTTGTCTTGCATGCCGATATGAATTTAAAACAAATGAAAATTACATTTGCAGAAATTTTCACGAAATCCATAGAAAATTTTGATCTCATAGATGCTTTATTTGATAATATTCAAAACTAAAATGAATTGAAAAAGACGATAAAAATAGTGACAGTGGAACTAGATTCGGCGACCGTCAATTAATGCCTCAAACGGGTTGGATAAAAGTTCTGCATTTATTTTATTTTTGATATAGCATTCTGCAGTTTCTTTTTGTTGAAAAGAACGACGTATCTATTGGAAAAAAATTTCATTGAACATCGTTGTCAAAAAAACAATAAAGTTTTTAGAACCAAGGGCATCGGAAAACTCTTTCACAATGTTTTTCTTTTTGAATTTAGAAAAACTCACACCATACTTTAACACCCATTTTTGGTAGTAGTTGTTGTTGAGATGGCGAAATCTATTGTCTTTTAGTTGTTCCACTAAATTCATCATTTGTTTTTAAACAAAAATAAGTTGTTGACGTTGAATGATGGTAAATATGATGATGAAGATGATGCAAATGTATTTGTGTACCATTTTGTATTGTTGAATAAAATAATTTTATATTTGTTAATTCATTTTAATGTTCGACGAGTATTTAAATCAATTTGTTCGAATAGATCAGCAACAGTTAAATGAAATATTGAATATTCTCTCTACCTAAAGTAAAACAACGATTTTCAGATAAATTACTTTCATATCTAAATCAATATCATATTTTATTATCATGAAGATTTATATTTGAAGATCGTGGTTCGTCATAATCATGATCGATTGTCTGAAGAATAATTTATTATATAGTGGATTCATCTTTTTTCTTTTACTTACAAATATATTATCTAAAAATCTTTGTATATTTTCCCGTTTTTTTTTTCAAGAAAATCATTCAAAAAATTCATATAAGATTCTTTTGAACTAAAACTGAATTACAAATTTTTCAAAATTAAAAATTAGATATTCCTTTTACTTAGAAAAATTTGCTAATGTTTGTAATGTTTTATTAAAGTTAATTTACCTTGAGTAATACAACATAGAAATGATAATAATTGTCAAAGTTTTCAAAACATACGTTTTAATTTCTTTTAAACAAAAATATCGAACTTATTTAAAAAAAAAACTATTTTTATTTCAATNCCTTTGATTTCCATTACTGAAGTGTGTAATGAAGATGGAAGAACTGTGACACTTACACATACTGTGTTGTTCTAAAATATATGTGAGTTTCTCGACATACTTAGGCTTCATGGTGTTGAGCTGAAAACTCTTAAAAGATTGATGTAAACATTATCTCTTAAATTCTAACACTTCAGGAGTGTCCCGAGTGAGGGACCAAAAATATCCAACAAAACGTTCAACTCTAACAAATTGTTTTGATTGCTCTAATGATTCATTGACCTCTCTCTCCCCGAATTATGGCTGGCGACCTGAGATCCCTCCTGTAAAACTCAAAAAGTCTCTTTTGAAAAATTCTTTTGAGTAAAATGATGACAATATATGTGACACAATAGAAGACTTAGAGTCTCTTATTGTGAGAAGATGTTTACTAATTCAGAGTGTTACTAAAAATTTTAAAAAAAATTTTTCATTACCAAACGTTCGAGATTAGTTTTCACATTTTGAATTCCATGACTGACGATCCTCAGATGACTTCTTTATGTTTATTAACTTGTGAACTTTTATGCTGAATTATTCATCTAAATAATAGATACTTATAGACTACTAACGATCTCACTGTCATAAAAATGGTGACAAATATTGTTTTCTAATGATATTTCTTCTCTTTCTAACTATGATTTAGATTCAATATTCTACTTGTAACGACAAGAAGAAAGTTTATTCGACTTATATAGCTCATTCCAAAATGAACTATTGAATTCAATAAAAAAAAAACAACAAAAAATGTCTTGATTATGATTTTGATAATCAGTGACGAACAACATGACCTTATTTTAGGTACTTCAATATAATAGTTTTTTCTTTTCGTCCTAATCTTTAATTGTACGAAAGTTATTTGTACATATTTCATATCAACAAATATATTTGCTTATTTTTACAGATGTCTCATTGATGTAATCATTAGTCTCTTGTCGTTTTTTACTAGAAGAAAATGCTATACCACCTGGTGATTATTCTTGAATGCATTCATTTATTTGATCTTTGTTCCTAAGCTTTCTCTCTTTCTCTTTTTTTTGTCTAGCAAAAGACATTGGAATTGATATGCTCATTGAATGACTGCATATACACATACACGTGTTTATGCTAGTTGCCTGCGCGAAAAAGAAAGACACATATAAAGAATTGACAGTCTTCGATTATGTATTCATTTCATTAGAGAATAACAACATTAATATCTAATCATACAGTAAGTTGGTTTTCTGCTTTATCTATAATGAGAAGGCAAGAGAGTGGCTATATCATAATGTAATATGCGACTGATTAACTTCGTTTTTTTTTTTTTTTTTGGTTATCTAAAAGTTCAATTTTTAAAGTATTTAATGATTAAAAATTATAAAAAAAAAAATCATTATGCGATATAAGTTTTTTTTTGTTTTCCCCGCCTAATGATTATTAGTTATGAGCAATTTGAATTGGCGCCTTGTCGTCTATTTCTTTCTCAAACGATTTTTGTAACTAACAAAAAAAAAAGGTGTCCTATTGAGTATGTGTTATTTTATATACATATATATATATATATATTTAATCTAATGAGATTATTATATTTTATAGATTCTATTCAGACTATTTGAACATCCATTAGAAAGTCAACATTGTTATACAAGTAATCAAGTATGTTTATAATTTTTATTCGATATGTGAAAAGAAAATGTCTGACACCAGATGGTTTCAATTTTTAATGTATATTTAATTTCTTACCATATATGTATGAGTTTTCTTTTTGTTATTATTTAAATGGATATTGATCATAGTGGGTGTATAGATGCTTTTCAAATAGCTATTTAGTATATTTCATCGCTTATTAATCATTGATGAAATGAAATGATTCGTTGTTCTTTTTTTTTTTTTTTTTCTTGTAGATCATTTTCTATTTTTCTTGGATATATTAATGGTCATGTTGTTATTTGCTTGACAATGTCATGTTCTTTTCCATCAATTGATCTCTCCATCATCTAAATTGTTATTATGATTACTATGTTTCTGTCATCGTTATTGCTCTATATCTCTCTTTTTCTATCTTATTTATCGCACATTATCGATACAACGTGTCCTGTACAAAAGCAAGAACACTATCGTCGACGACAGCCATATTAGTATAAAACAGAGAAAGAGAGAAGTAGTGCCGCTGAAGGACGTGTGATCAATGCGTTTATCGGGAAATCAGTCTTGTTGTACTGCTTTCTCTTCTTGTCATCATCGTTCTTTTCTATCATTTATTTGTTATTACGTATTACAAGTATTATCCTTGGGTTAGCTTAAGAAATGAGGATGCTTCAGGTAATTAAATTTATTATTATATTTTCTTATTCAATCTATATAACACATTTAATTTGAGCAAGAAAAAAAAACTATACCATTTTGATTTAATTATAGAACAACGTGTCAAATAATAAAGAAACTATTTCTTATGATGTATACATTCTAGACATTTGGATTTTCTTGTATTTTTCACTCAAATGAAAGAAAGATTATTATCAGTGACATAAACAATAAGACACGGAAAAAAAGAGGGAGAAAGCGAGTTAAGATGGTCAAAATAAGTTTGTATGTTGCCGAAAGACAAACAGCTGAAGTCAATGGGCCGAACATTGGCACTAAATAGAAAGTTCGACGGACAAATGCTAATCACTATGTGTGTGTGTGAGTGTGCGTGTGTTCAGTTCTTTTCTTTTTCTCTGAGAAAAAGAATAACGATAACGTCACAAATGTGAAGCAAAAAATAAACGAAATATCTGTTTCCTGTCGTCTTCTCTCGGTCGAGCATTGATCAACAAACTTGTCGTCCGATGAACTGATTTGCTTCCTCTTCTTATTCTGGATGAGCAAGTGTCTAATAGGATTTATGCAAATCAACTACTACTCCTACTTCATCATGTTCTTTTTTCTCTAACTGAAAAAAAAAAAAAGAAAGGGACCATACATATTACCCATAGTAGTCATCAATGAAAAATCGATTGTAATCAATAATCTCTTTTTTTTCTTTTTTTCTCAACGATTTCATTGATCAAGTTTTTTATTTTTTTAAATTATCAAATATATATATATATATATATATATATACAAAAGAAAGAATCGATGTAATGGGAATTAAAGAAAAAAAAGAGACAAGGGCGTCAGCTCGGCATGGCATCAGCCGGTTCCGGTCGTCGATTTTTTTTTCTATTCTTATTGTTCTCGTACAGTCAACACGATGATCGGTTCCTGGTATGTTTACAAGGTACAAAAAAATTCACACAAACGTTTTTATTTATTAATTCTTTCTTAATATATAATAAATTCTTTCTATAAATATATATGAATAGGTCTTGGCTCCAAATCCTTCCGTTCCTCTATCATCCCAGCAAACAACAGTAACATCAATTGAAAATCAACAATTAATCGAAGATCAAAACGAAGACGACGACGAATATTATAGTGAAATGGCTGCATTCAATCGACAACAACAAGGAAATGGTAGTGAAACACGATCGATTGGTGGCGGAAATTTTACTGATGATGATTCAAATTATTCGGATAAAATACGTACGAATTTAATTATTAATTATTTACCACAAACAATGACACAAGATGAAATCAAAGATTTATTTGGTTCAATTGGTGCTATTGAATCATGTAAACTTGTACGAGATAAAACAACAGGTATAAACAAAAGAATTTATCGTTTCAAATTTGTCGATACTACAAAAAAAAAAAAAAAAAAAGAATCGATGAAGTATGAAAAGTTAAACGTCCATATCAATGTGTATATTTTACAATAATAAAAATCAATATTTTGTTCTTATCAGAAATCGACCCGATTTAATTCTTTTGGGAAATTTAAATCAACTTACAACAATCTTTGTTCAAAATTATTGATTACTAGTGTACAAATTCGAATTATAAAGAATTAATTCATTTCCGATTGAAATTTTGAATATGAACTACTAATAAAGGAAATCCCCCGACTGATTAATCGCTTTTCAGTCTGGGCTACGTGTAGACCCAAATGAACTTTCAATATCCTGAAGAGAATTCAACTCTTTAGCTAATGACTGCCACGACACTACATTGTTACGGATATTTTTTAAATGTCTGCCGTAGTTCCTCTCAGAAACATCACTTTGTCTCTATCTAAACATATAGCTACGACATTTGAGGAGAACTACGGAATGTTCGCTAGAATAAACTAAGAACTCGAACTCTCTTCAAACTATTCAATACTCATTAAAGTCTATATGATACACTTAGTTGTGACTCAAAAGCCATTAATCAGTTGGGAAACTTTGTTCATAAGATACATTCATTGTTCTTTGTTATTTTGGAAGAGAAAAGCTAGAAAAACCTTTATTATCTACGAGATGACAAATTTTATTGAATTAAAAATTTTATTTGACGATAATAAATTAACTAATTTATTTTTAGGTCAAAGTCTTGGTTATGGTTTTGTTAATTTTATTCGTACAGAAGATGCTGAAAAAGCTGTTAAAACCATGAATGGCCTTCGATTACAAAATAAAACAATTAAAGTAAATAATAAGATTTCTTTCTTGAATTTTCATTAATTAAAAAAAAAGAAAGAAAATTCCGTATTCATGTTATTTACCATTGAATACAATTCGCTAAGTGTTTGCCTTTTGATATGTAAATTATTTCTCAACTATGAACCTAATATATCGAGAAAGACAAAAAAAAAAAAAAAAAAAAAAGAAAAGAAAAGAACAGAAACTCTTACTGCAGGTATCTTTTGCGCGTCCGTCATCGGACTCAATCAAATTTGCCAATTTATATACATGCGGTATTCCAAAACAGTGGACAACCAAAGAGCTTGAAGCCTATTTTACTTCATGTGGCAAAATAATTACGAGTCGAATTTTAACGGATTCAAATACAGGTTTTATTTTTCGGCGCTCTTTTTCTATTTTGCCGCAATATTAAGGAAATGAGAATAGAATCAAGTGTTTCACATACCCGCTGCTTATTGTTTCTGTTGTTTATATTAGTTTTTTTTTTTTTTTTTGAATATAATTTTATTGGTTTGTTTTGTTTTGTTTTGTGTTATTTTATTTATTTCAGGTTTCTTTTGCTCGTCCCTCTTCGGAGTCAATCAAATTTTCCAATCTTTACATTTCAAATCTCCCACGTTCGATGACTCAGCAGGAGCTCGAGAGTTTGTTTGCTGATTTTGGTTCTATTATTTCGTCGAAAATTCTTTGCAACCCTAAAGCAGGTAGAATTTTATTTTATTTTTTTTTATGTTTTATATATTTATATATATTATTTAATTTATTTTTATGTGCACTATTAAGTATACAGATAGATTTCCCGAGAAAGAGAAATGCCATTGCTCAGCTCTCTTTTCTTTTTTTTTTTAAATACAAGTTATAATATGATCAATGATTGTTTTTATAATTTGTTTTGAAGGTGCATCAAAAAGTGTTGGATTTATTCGTTTTGATCAACGATCAGAAGCCGACATGGCTATTAGTAAGCTTAATGGTACTATTCCAAAAGGTATGTAAATGAACTATAGCTAGAATTTACTTAAACTTGTCTCAATTCAAGTTTTGAAATTTTCTCTTCTGATTACACTATAGAGCCCATTCGGATCCTAGGTGAGACTTGGAGAAGTCTCACAAGTGATTGTTTCCAATTATGATGCTTTTACTGAATATTTGACTCAGTTATAGACAATGGAGAAACAACAGAGACATCAGTCACATAAAATTTAGCCTATAGATAGTTTCAATAGAATATCTTGAAAGTTTTAGCCGAAATAAATGGTTTTTTTTTGTCGGAATATTGAACTTTTGAAAAAAATCATTTGGCACAGGAATGTTCAACTGAAACTTTCTGAATACTGTATAGATAGGCGGATCGAAAATTCAATGAAATGATCATAGCTCGTCTTCAAAATATTATGACAACGAACTCTTTTAGATTTTTTCTAGTTTTACCAAGACGTTCTTACAGGTGCAATATGAGTTCAAACGGCGTGTATCAGTTCGAGCGACTTCCTTCATGATTAGATAAAGCAGCAAGCTTATCTATCTAGACATGTTTGTATTAATACAGTTCATGTATACAATATCTCATTGTAGGTTTTACTGATCCAATAACTGTTAAATTTGCTAATACGCCAAATGTTGCTAAATCCATGATTGGTTTACCATTAGCACCATCATATTTATCCGGTATTCCAACGCCACAACAACCTGTACTTGCTACAGTACCACCTATTCGTCAACAATTGAATAGGTACAGGTATGCTGCTCAATTTAAATATTTTATTTTTAGTGGGAAATATTTATTAATTTCTGCTCTTTGTTACTATTTTATTTTTTCTTTTGTGTATTATTTGCATTATTTTGCATAGAGAAACACATGAACGATCAAAATATCGGTGAGTGTATTATTATAATTTAGTTGTTGTTATTCATTATGTATTTTTTTTTTCTATCTGAACGTTTAATGAATGAAAAATTTCTTTTATTTCTTTATATAGATATTCACCATTATCACCTGCTGATTTTTTTGCTGCTGCTGCTACAGCTTCTTATTTGCCTGCGGCTGCGGCTGCTGCTGCAGCAGCATCAGCTACAACATTAACATCATCAACTGGTAAGTAATTATGAATATAATCTAAAAGAAAAAAAAAAAAAGCCAATGATTAATTTTTATGTTTTAAATAAGATATTGCATCTGTTGGTTGGTGTATATTTGTTTATAATTTGGCACCTGAAACAGAAGAAAATATTTTATGGCAATTATTTGGACCATTTGGTGCTGTACAAAGTGTTAAAATAATACGCGATTTTCAAACACAAAAATGTAAAGGTTTTGGTTTTGTAACAATGACAAATTATGATGAAGCATTAATGGCTATTAATTCACTCAATGGTTTTACACTTGGTAATCGTGTATTACAAGTATCATTTAAAACAAATAAACCAATACCTATTCGCGCTTTCTAGTCCATCCAAATAGACATTTTTTTTTCACTTTTTCTCTTTATTTCTATGTGTGTGTGTTATTGCTTCAATTGTGTGCTCAGTTCGTGTCTTTCTTCTGTATCCATTGAACAAAACAAAAAGAAAAAAAATCCGAGAATAATCAATCTTCATATAACAGTTTCATGTGTATATGTGTGTTTATGCATGCAGAAATGAAGAATAGACAAAAAACAAATAATATATATCTACTTCTTGTTATTATCGATCAGAGATACATTGATATTGTTAGTTTTACAGCTGTTTTTCTTATGTTGTTCTTGTTTTCTACATTTGGATTAGCACGGTTGTCAATGAAGAAGAAAAAAAAAACTTAATTCTACTTGGTTTTGTAAACTAGGAAAATATTGATCGAATTTTTTTTGTTTTTTGTTGACAGAAAAGAAACTAAGTGGAAATTATTTTGGAGGAAATAAATATTTGATATGATATATTTAATGAGTAGGATTGTTTAGCAACCTTGATCAGTTTCTAATGAACAGATGGCCATAAAACAATGCTTCTTCTTATGCTCCTCTTTTTTTTGCGTTCTTTAGAAAAGAAAAATAATCCAAACCATCTGGCAGACCAGTAAAATGTCTATCATCTGCATATCATTACACTTTGACGAAACAAGAATTCTCTGGCTAATGTGCAAGTCTGCACAGTAGCTTTTACTCCAAACATATTGCCTATGTTATTTTTTTCTCTCTGTTCGTTTTTTTTTTATTTGCAATTATTATATATATATAAATATATATAAAGTTTGAGAACTAAATCAGCTGCAAGATCGAATACAGCCCGCTACTCGTTGTATCATCAGGAATGCACATGACAGATGGTAATCGCTCTCAGAGAAAAATAAGACATCTCATACGATAGTTCGTTTATGATTTTCTTTTTTTTGGTTTCACGTTCAAACAATTGACAACCATCTGGATTTATTTTCTGTCATTTTTCTATGCAGTTATTAAGGATGAAATTCAGGTAAATCAAATTGAAGCATACCAATACATGAATGTATTTTTTATTTTGTAGCATAAATATTTGTATATTAATAGTTTTCAGAATGGATAAATCAATAAATATTTTATCGTAAAAAAATGTAGACGAAAATATATCGATTGAGTTTTTCTTTTCTGAGAAAACGAACAAAAACCAGATCTTTCTCTGGTTCGTATATAAATGACACATTTCTTTCTTTTTTTTTTTATTTTATTTTTTTTCTCTTTGCATCTTTTTATCCTTGTGACTGGCAACAGCTTGCGCTCAGTGATAGCTATTAATGATGAAGAGTTAACTAAAAGTAAAAGAGGAAAGAAAGATGATGACAATTGCTACTGCGCACATACGTGAAACGGTTGGTGCATACATTGTTATTTCCGTTCTTCATCTTACTTGTCTTTCTCCTTTGCTATGTGCATGCATAAAACGCATGCTGCCATGACACCATATTGAGAGATAAAATGGTGCAATCTGTTGCCTGTTCACCGAGTATTTTTCTTCGTTTTTTTTTTCTTTTTTTCTTCAGATCATCTATGCCAACTAATTCAAACGAAAGTCCAATTTCATCATCAACTACAACAGTAGTTGCGCCATCGATGAATACACCTATATCGAATACAACGACAATAATAACAACAAGTAACAGTGGATCATCATTATCATCATCCAATGATATTCAAACGGTGACACCTACTCAAGCGAATTCTCCATTACAATCAATATCAAGACAATTAAATAAATTAAAACGATTTCTTAGTACATTGTATTATTTTGGATCGGATATATCCAATGAAATAGGCGAACGAGTTCGAGCATTAATATTAGCTTTAATCGTAAGTTTTGAAATTGATACTCGTATACAGGGTTTAATTTTCAAATGAGAACAAGGCCAGATGATGTTTATTTTGTTCCCTTAAGCTCGAATGCCTCGAAGAGTAAAATATAGAAATAGTTTTAAAATAAGAAAAAAAAAATGAAAGTGAAATAAAATCTTATTTAAAATTTTCTTTTAAATGATTTTGTTTTTATTTAGAATAATGCTTTATCTGTTGAAGAATTTCATGGTAAAGTACAATTGACAACTAGTTTTCCATTACGACCATATGCATTACCGTTTCTAAAGGTAATATTAGTGTTGACAGTTGATAAAATGGTTGAAAAAAAAATAATGAGCTCTATTTGCTGTTGTATCAAGCTGTTTATTTAGATAAGCATAACGAGTATTGAAATAATGGATGTGTTCGATTCAATACAGAACAATACCGATATTTCCTATAGGAGCTATTTTTTTTTCTGTTTGAGAATGAAGGCATCAGATGTATTATTAAAAGGCTCTCGATTAATTATTCAAACTTCGTAACCTGAGCTATGTTTGATGCTAAAGATTTTCAGCTGAAGATCTCCTTTCAAAAAAAAAGTCAATGTTCGTCAGAAAAATCAAAATAGAGATAAATCCATGGGAAGATAACTCAACGAGGTCTGACTCTTTCAAAATGAAAGTGCTTGTCGACCTGAAATGCCTATTGCTGATACGAAGTTTTTTTATTATTATCTAAAAAAAACACTTCTATAAATAGATGACTTTTGTTTTAGAGCTTTTCAAGGACTCAACTTGTCACCTTTTTATCTTCTGCCTACAAATAGAAAAGAAATTAAATCTATAGAATGAAGGTCCACAGGAAATTTCCGGTTACCCAATGTGCTATGTTTAACCCTTGCTTGTTGGATATCTCTTGAAAAACATTATGATATAGACCTCGAAATTTTATCTTAGCCTCAAAAATATCTTGAAAATTTCGTGTGAGTTTAATACACCTGACCCAAAATCGATTTTTTTAGGTGAGGGGGCAAAGCTAGAAAGTAATAATAACCAATATCATTTTTGTTCGTTTTTACGTAACCAATGACTCCAAGTCTTATATTATGGGAAGGATTTTTTGTATGCAAATTCTTTTTTTATTAAAACGGGATGATCATGTTCATAACATGTGTTTTAGACTCTAATTTTCTGACAACCGAAACCTATAGAACTTTCCTTCGCATTAAGGCCACAAGAAGGTCTCGATGAAAACGAGAAAAGCTTAAAACGGCTGATGCCCATGGTCTCCTATTGCAGAGCTTTTCACTGAAGACAAGGCCTCTCCGAATAATTCAAAATAAAGAGCTTCGAGCTGAAATTGTGTCTATAGATATTTTTGATAATCATTAGATTGTCGTGAAAGTTTCAACGAAAACGAACAAGTTCAAATAGATTCGATTACTGTGTTCTACTATAGTCAATCGGTCTGTTTTTAGATATTGAATATCTTGAGAAACATATATTCTTTTTCGTGGAAATATTCAGGATTATCTAATGACTATCAAACATAACAATACACATAATTTCATCTCGAAATTTTTTTTAGAGTTTTTCGAGAAAGCGTTGCTCTTTGTAAAACTTTCATTAAACGATCCTTATTCTTCAATCATAGCTCGTACAGTTGAATACGTTCTCTCGTCACTAAATACAAAAAATAACGGAAAAGAATATCTCGTATATGAAAAGTTTTGACCTGATGCGCTCTAATTAAAGATTGTTCCGCTTTAAATTCACCACTACATTCTACAATTCATATAAGTACAGAATGAGTTAATATTTTCTAAAGCTATAAATTTTGTTTTCTCTTTTTTGACATTTTAGTCAACATTACCTCTTTTACAAAAAGATCTTTCACAATTAGCACGTCAATCTAAACAATCAACAAGTCAATATCTTGCTCAACATGAAGAATTTATCTTATTACCTCGTGATTTAATTGAAAGAAGTACTAGTCCATCGATTTCCAATTCGAAAGAACAAATTCATGATAATGCAAAAAGAAAATTAACTGATGAGTAAGAGTCATAATTTGCTTTTCTTATCCAGTTAAATTTTATTTTATTGCTTTTTTTTTTTTGTGAAATATTTTAGTACACATGAACGAGATGAACGATCTTATACAACAAAACGTTCATCAGCTAGTTTGAATAATAATAATAATAATAATAATAATAATCATCATAATCGTTCATTAGTTTCTTCAACTATAACAAACAATATAATATCATCAACATCGATAAGACATGATACTCGAGAGAAAGAACGAGCATTTACTTCATGTAAATATAAGATTATATTTTAATCGAATTGAAATTTCTTTTTTCTTTGTTTTCATTGAAGATCTTCGGGAATATGGATCTGATATAAAAGATAATAGTGATAAAAATACGGAAGATGATTGGAGAAATGCAGAAAATGTAGGTTAATTTTATTTAAGAGAATAAAAAAATAGTTTATTATTTTGTGCTTAAAATTTAGATGCTTAATTGTATTCTTGAAATGGTGACAAAAGCAAAACGAGTTTTATTTATGTTACAACAAAAAGATACTCATTTTCGTCATCTCGTTGAAACAAATGATCTCGAGTGGCGACGTAGACAAGCTGATATATTAACGCAAACAGAGGATCGTATTGTTGAAGTTCGACGAAAAGCAGGTTAATAGAAATTTATTTAACCTTTTGGGTGACACAATTCAAATATATGTGCTTCAGTTGTGATTCAACTAGTAGCCTAGTCAGAAATTTTTCACTAGAGATGAGAGGCAAGAACATCGCTCCCTCCTTTGATACATTCACGTTCTGCCCATTGTCCGTATGTATGTATGCCTTGTCTTAGAATTTTCAAAAACTTTTATTTCTTCTCACAATAACTGAAGATATCGACTTAATCTGCTTCTCTAATGAACCAAACACATAAATTGGAAACGATAGTTACTAATTTTTTGCAAGATGATTGGTTTGAACTGTTATGCTCTGATTCTCAACTACAAATTGGATAAGTCTTTTCTTTTTTACTGATATACAAATCCATTCTTATATATATTTCGGTTTTCATATTAGATGAGATATAAGTTAAAAAATCTTTCAGGGAACAGTTTTGTTATCAGTGTAAAGTTAAGA